TTCTTGGGTCTTTTCTCGTATCCACTCTATTCTTTTACGGTCTTTCTTGGTTATTCCCAGCATTTTGTTCCACCGAGCGTTGTGCGACCTGCAGTTTGTTTGTAATGTCCGTTTTAAGAGTCCAAGTATCGCATGCATAGGTTGTGACTGGTAGTAGGTACACATTGGTCGAATTTTTCCTTCTTTATATGATGTGGCATTCTAGATTTGAATATGATTGAGTTTTTTTCATAAGTACCCCATGCTAATTCTTCGGTTGATTTATGGTAGTAGCGATTCCGAGCTGTGTATTAGTTGTCCCAAATTTTTGTATTCTTCTACTTCCAGTTTTACGTTATTTATTAGAATGTCTTTTCTGTCTACTAGTTCATTGTACATTACTTTAGTTTCTGTTAAATTCATTTTGAGATCTACTTTATTGCTGGCTGTATTTAGTTCGTCAATTTGTGTTTGTAGTTCTTCATTTTGGCCTTTGATTATCAGCCGTCAAGAGAAATTGTGGTTAAACATCAAAAGTTGATTGTTTTATAAACTAAATATTATGCTTTCTCTATGGATACAACTGACTATCGCAAGCTGTTGCTAGGATATTTTATTAATTTTAATTATGTTTTTACACATTGTGAATATAGAAACCACTATTAAATTAGCTAGACAAGACTATGTCATTTATTGTTGGCTATTAGGACTATGTCATTTTATCGTTTCTATTATCCGCCATTATATATTTCTAAATAATAATAAAGTTCCTAAACTCTACCGTGAATTGCTTTTTTATAGAGCAGAGAGAGACTCCTTCAACACCCTGTACAATACCCTCCTAACGCGCATAAGAAAATCCAATCTCGCCATTAAAAGGAAGCTTTCAGAGTACCGTATTCAATTAGAGTCGTTCAGGTTTTGGCGCTGAAAGCCGCTTTAGCGGAGAGGCTTTTATCTTCTCTATTTTTTTCGCAAAGGAGGATAACTTAATCAGTTGTCCCGTTTAAAAGATCTAATTCCGGACAGTTTTAGGGGAAAATATCCGCTGTTTATGTCTCTTAGTGGCGCTTACTTTTTTCAACGGTCTTTTTTTTTCTGCGTAAACGAATTAAGTCTCGAGATAGGCAAAAAACTGACGGTTTTAGGATTTAAATATATATTTTTTTCTCTTAAGACGGTAAATTACTGGGGTATTTTTATGGATTTCAACTGTTATTGATTATTCTAGCCTAAAATCATTGAGATAAATTGACTGGTATTGCCTTTAAATCTGAAAATTTAGAATATTTTAGTTTTAGATTATCTTCTACACTCTGTTACTTAAGTGGCTTCCAATTTTCGAATTTTGAATAGAACTTCCTATACAGGATGAGTCTTAAATAAGTGCAAATATTTGTTGTATTTATTTTTATAGGCTGGTAGATTTCGAAAAAAAAAATATTTTCTCTTTGCCGTTTTTCAAGCTGGACTTCCAAAATAGCCGAGTCATTTTAGTTTAAAAATGTTTAAAAAGTTTTTGAAGTGAAACTTCTTTACGCGCTTTACTCCCAAAGCGCGGAGGAAAATTCAAGTCCGTGATACATATAATTGAATTCCACATAAAATTCTAAACTCATTTTGTGTATAATGTCATATACCTTTTTTGTTTAGCTGTTTTTAACAATAATTTCAAATTTACGTCAAAAATACTTGTTATAGAAAGTCTACTTGACTCTAATTAAGATTTTACAATAATTTATGAAATATTATACAGTTTGCTCATAAAAATAGTTTTACTTTTTTCTACTTCAATATTATAATATTTTCTATTTTAGATATCAGATTTTAATAAATATTAACATACAAATAATTCATAAATCATTACTCATAATGTTAGTAGATATGATACGCAATTTTTTATTTGGCAAAAAACTTATACAAAGACTTAAACTTCACTCAGAACCTCGCAATTAGTGGAATAAATTAGTGGTTTCAATTACACTTTATATTTTTTATAAAGGATTATTCACAATATCTAAAAACAAAATTAAAATTAATAAAATATCCTAGCAACAGCTTGCGATAGTCAGTTGAATCCATAGAGAAATCATAATATTTAGTTTATAAAACAATCAACTTTTGCTACTAATTGAAAATGAATACCACTAATTTAGACGTTCTGAATGCTTACATTGAAATCAACAGAAACAAACTTCAACGCTAATTGAAACCGCTAATTTATTCCACTAATTGCCACGTTCTGAATGAAGCTTTAAAGTAAATTACATAATATAATTCTGTGGGGCCAAACGAAAATGACCCCTTATAAGTGTAGAAATAAGATTTCGTTTCTTGACAGACATTTCTGAATTATATGGCAGGTCTACGTAACCATTTATAATAAAAGCACCATTCTTATTCCAATTTGTACCAACAACGTCACTTGATTGTTTCAAGTCTTTTTGGTCTTTTAAAGCATCAAAAACATAGAGATGAACAAAAAAGTATATATATTTAGACTAGGGTTGCCAACCGTCTTCTATCCCAGAGGACAGTCCACTTTTTAATCCGACTGTCATCTTTTCTCTCACGTATTGAAAATATCCTCTTTTTTACATACCATACTCAAAATCTAAAACATATTGGTCTATCGCCACAATGCTTTAAAAAATTGTTAATCCGTGTCTTTCGCTACTCTCATTCGTTTGTACAGACAAGAAAGTGTAGAATTAAAAAATATTTATGTACAAGAAACACAATAAATATATTTGCGAAAGCGCTAAACTCCCGTCCTCTATTTTGAAAGTTGGCAACCCTAGTTTAGACTTCCTTTGTCAAAACTATTTAAAAAAAAATATTTTTCTCCCTCGCAAAAAAATATATACTTAAGAATGTCCAAAAGTACTATAAAAAGAACAATATATAACTTTTTCAGATACGGTTAGTCGGTCGGTTAGATTCAAAACCTAGTGGCATGTAAAAAATATTTCTGCTTTTTTAATCTTCTGCTTCAATGACAAAAGCCTGTTTCCTTCCAGCAGAAAAAAACAAGTCACAATGGTGCGGACATTACCTACAGTACAAGTTTTTTTTCATTTAAACAACCGTAATGATATTTATTACTAATACTCTCATAATTAAATCTATCCTAAAATGTCCATAAAAAACTCAATATTACGCAAACTCCATTGATTTTTTAAATCGAAACTCGGAATTGAAACAATTAATTTTGTGCAGTTAGTTTACCCTCAAACGGGTAAAAAATACAGGCCATTTATTACAGGCGGAAAAAAATATCCGTTCTGCTGCCCTTTTTCTCACATCATATATCATTCTCTATATACGAGCAAAAAACTGATCGTTCAACTTACGCTTCTATTATAAATCATAAAGTCATCGATTTTGTAGGCCCGCTTTAATAAAAAAGAACTTCAAAGCACTATGACTAGCTTTGTTTCTAATTCTGGGATTAAACCGTGGGTAGTTGCCACTTTTAAATAGAATAGAGCACACGCAGGAAGTTTAGCAGCAAAGTAGTTTTTTTGCGAAAGTGAATCAAATTATTTATTAATTTTTAATTTATCACTTTTTCAACATTTTAAACTACACTTTTTCAAACATGTCTCCTTCAAATCCTTCAATTTAATAGCTGTTAGTAAGAAGTTTCAGTTTAAATATACGCACATAGTGCACACACAGTTTTTTCTACATATTCATTTCAAAGCCAATTCTGATACCGTTTTTTTTCGCTCCTATGATATATGTCTATGCTTGGCTATTTGGAACACACTGACGCATTCACATTGTTCAAAATTTTCAAAAATTAACTACCAAATACGAGCCGTATTATGAGTCGTAGATAGTTGTATAGTCTTGAATTTTCTGAACGCTTACCGAAATTTGTCAAGCACGTGAAGGTAGCCTAATATAATCGACTTTAAACAAAAGTGTACAGAGTGTCCCATTTTGGTTACAAATAAGGGATATCTCACTTATTAATAAAGAAAGAACCTCGCGGTTTTCGCTCCATTTTTGTGGAACTAAAAATGCTACACACAAAATTTTCACTTTGAAAATGTTGAAATTTCAGACAACCCTCGTAATCTCATTGTGAACTTATAAAAATGGTCAAAACGGATTCTTATGGCACTTTCAATATGGAATACAGAGGCGGTAGTTAGATTTTTTACATGGCCGGAATTTTATACCAGTATGTGTTTTAAGCCTTTTCCCGTTTTTAAAGCTTACTATTTCAAAAACTGTTTAAAAAATATCAACACAGCAAGAAAGGACATCTATAAGGAATCAAAAGTTGTCTGAAAACCAAAAATACTTAGTGGAGGTAATAGAACAGACTAAAAAGTATCTTTCTGTTATTACGTTGAATACCTGACTTTTGACGTCAATAAATTCCTCCATGCCAACTACAAGCTTTTGTTAATTTCTAGCAGTAGTAAACTGTTTTTATAGCAATTAATTGTTCTACAAATATATGTAGGTATGTATAGTTCCAGTTGTTGGGTTAACTACGGCAACCCTGTAAGGTGCAGTTAGAAAATGGACTGGTCCAAGAGAGTCCAAGAGGGGAGGACGCATAAGAAGAACATCTTTTGACCTTTGAAAGATATTATCATTTACTTAACGTGAAATTCTAATAATATTGACGCTTATACATAAGTTTTTTGGTCCTTCGAACCCGATATTTGGCGAAGAATTTGGAAAAACAGCAACTACAATTGACAACGCAATTTAATGGTTTTTATTCAACAATTGTTACCACAAGAAGTTTGCTATCGCTACAGGTTAGTGTGCATCCTTTTTTTTTTCCTTTACTTTACCTACTTTACAAGCCATTATTTGCTCACTTTATTCGATTTTTATCGATTTATATTGAATTACTTTACCTATGCTGTAATTAACCGATTTAAGCCACTTAACACGTTTCTTGTACTTATTTTAATTATTTTAATTGAGGGATTTAAACAAACATTTACTTATTACATCTTTAACATAACTATTTAAATTTTAAATACGTTAAAATGACTGATGAACTTAAAAACAAAAGACGGGTCATTAAAGCAGCTCTCACACGATTTGAAAATTACTTTAACTTAAAAAAGTCTTTGGAAAACCTTCCTTTTGAAGAAGTAGAACAATTAAAAAACAGATTACTTAAGGCTACTACATTTTTAGATGATTTTAATGACGTTCAAATGAGCATTGAAAACTTAGACCCTGAATTTGACAAAAATTTCGATTCACATTCAGAACAACGTGAAAATTTTGAAAATCAGTTTTACCGTATTACATCTGAAGCCAAAAAATATTTAGACAATATTATTACAAAACAAAATGCAGAGTTGAACTCTCAAAATGTACAACAAACAGGCACTGATAATAATATGACTTTTGCATCGATAAAACTCCCACAAATTAATTTACCCACATTCGATGGTGCCCATGATCAATGGCTTTATTTCAGAGACACTTTTCGATCACTCATTCATAATAATAATTCACTAACATCTACACAGAAATTTCACTATCTACGTCTTTCTCTAAGAGGCATAGCAAACGAAACTATTTCATCTCTAGAAGCTTGTGACGATAATTATCAAATTGCTTGGAATATTCTGCAAGACAGATTTGAAAATAAACCTTTACTTGTTAATAATCACATTAAATCAATTTTTAATTTACCATCTCTCACTAAAGAATCACATCAAGGTTTAAGAATGCTACTAGACGGTGTTCAGAAACATATAAACGCCTTAAAGGTTTTGAAACTTCCTACAGAACATTGGGACGCACTTATTATACATATAATAACTTCCAAACTTGATAATGCTACAAGACGTTCTTGGGAATCTACAATTTTTAACACTGAACTACCAACTTATAACGAACTTATAGATTTTTTAAAAGAAAAATGCCGTATATTAGAAACTATTGAAACAAATTACATATCAAAATCACAGAAGAATTATAAAAATGAACCACCTCTTAAACGCGATTTTAAAACATTTTTAACAACAGAAAATAAATGTTCGATGTGTAAAGGTGATCATACAATTTATAACTGTACTTTTTTCCTAAGTCTTTCTCCCACTGAAAGATTTAGTGATATAAAGAAAAAGAAATTCTGTATAAATTGTCTTGGTTCTAATCATGTAACAAAAGACTGTAAATCGTCTGGTTGCAAAAAGTGTGGTAAAATTCATCATACTTTATTACATTTCAATGAAAATCCTAGAACTCATGATAAAGTTAGTACAGGAATAGATACACCATCCAACTCAAACACACCTTTAGTTTCACCTTCAACTTCAACAACGCTTACAATTAATAATTTATCGACAAATGTTGCTTTGCTATCAACAGCTAATGTTAATATATATGACTCTAACGGAAAATTACATAGTTGTCGAGTTTTATTAGATAGTGGTAGTCAATCCAATTTTATATCTGAGAGACTATGTGATATATTACATTTAACCAAGGAAAAAACATCATTTTCTGTTTCTGGGATTAATCAAATATCTGAAATACTTAAACATAAGGTTATTGTTAAAATACGTTCTGCTACAATAAATTATGAAGCGAAATTGACTTGCTTGGTTGTACCTGAAATTACGGGAAATTTACCCTCAGTATCTTTTGATCACACTTTGTTAAACATCCCAAAACATATACAATTAGCCGACCCAAACTTTAACATTTCAAAACCAATTGATTTACTGATCGGCGCTGACTTATTTTGGGAACTACTTAGCATTGGGCAAATAAAACTGGGAACTGGACTTCCTATTTTGCATAAGACAAAACTTGGGTGGATTATTTCAGGGCCTATAATTAATAATTTTCACAATAAAACAACATGCCATTTTAATCAAAATATTGAACAACAACTTCACAAATTTTGGGAAATTGAAGATTTTCATAAAAATAAATTTTTATCGACTGAAGAGTCTTACTGTGAACAACATTATTCAAAAAACACTGAGCGAAATTCTGACGGACGTTTTATTGTTAAACAACCTTTCAAACAATCTGAAGACATTTTAGGTGATTCGAAAAATACTGCTATTAATCGATTTTTAAATTTGGAACGTAGGTTTGAGAAAAATTCTAATTTGAAAAAAGAATACCAAAATTTCATAACTGAATATCAAAATTTAAATCACATGACTTTAGCCAATGATCAAACTGACATATCTGGATTTTTCCTACCACATCACTGTGTTTTTAAAATGGATTCAACTACAACAAAACTACGAGTTGTTTTTGACGGTTCTTCTAAATCAACTTCTGGATATTCATTAAATGACTTATTAATGGTGGGACCTAACGTTCAAGACAGCTTATTTAATATTTTAACACGATTCAGATTTTATCCTATTGTTTTAAGCGCAGACATCGAGAAGATGTATCGACAGATTTATCTCCACGAAAGCCAACGTCATCTACAAAAAATTCTGTGGCGTCCTGATAGAAATCAGGATCTGCTCGTATATAATCTTAATACTGTGACTTATGGAACAGCTTCTGCTGCATTTCTTGCTACTCGTTCTCTTCAGGAGATAGGACATCTAGAAGCGAATGACAATCCTAACATTAGTGATATTATTTTACATGATTTTTACGTAGACGATCTTCTCACTGGTGGACAAACCCCACAAGATGTAAAGGAACTAAAAGATAATCTTTATAAAACTCTTCATAAATATGGAATGAATCTACGAAAATGGCTATCTAATGATAAATCTATCACTGCAGATTCCGATGACATATTTATTTCTCTTGATTATGACAACCAAACTAAGACGCTAGGTTTACTCTGGAATTCTCTATCTGATTCATTGCAATTTAATATTAAACACGAAATACCCGATAAGACTACTAAACGCACGATACTTTCTTCAATTGCTCAAATTTTTGATCCAATGGGACTTTTGACTCCAGTCACGATGACTGCCAAAATCATTCTACAGCAACTTTGGAAGATTAAAATTGATTGGGACGAATCTATACCTGCGGATCTGCATACAAGTTGGTCCACATATAGAACCCAACTTATTCAATTAAATAAACTTAAAATCCTAGATTAGTTCTTTGTGCAAATGCAGTCGAAATACAATTGCATGGTTTTTGTGATGCTGCTCAACCTGGTTATGGAGCATGTATTTTTATTCGTTCTTCTGATGCTCTGGGAAATGTTACTTCTAATCTTCTTTGTTCTAAATCCAGAGTATCGCCATTAGCACTTACTACTATTCCAAGACTAGAACTTTGTGGAGCCCCTTCTACTTGCTGAGCTCATGAATAGTATTTTGAATTCTACGAAATTTGATATACAATCTAAGGTATACTGGTGTGACTCCACTATTGTACTATCCTGGCTAAATACTTCTCCACATCTGCTAAAGATATTTGTTGCTAACAGGGTGGCTCAGATTCAATTACTTACAAATTTAAAAGAGTGGAGATATATTAATACTCATGATAATCCTGCAGACCTTCTAACTAGAGGTATAACTCCTTTAAAATTTATTGACACTAAAATTTGGTTTACGGGACATTCTTGGTTGGTCAGTGAAGAAATTAATTGGCCACATTGCAAATTTAATTTTTCTAAGGAAATTGATGAAACAGAGTTACGTAATATAACAGCAGTACACTTAATTAAAAACGATTTAAAGGAAAATAACATATTAATGCTTTTAGAAAATTGTTCAAAATTTACAAAACTTTGTCGTATACTTGCTTATGTCTTACGATTTAAAAACAACATTCGCAAAACTAAAATAACACATTTTAGCGGTCCTTTAAGTTTAGATGAGATATCAAGTGCTCTTTTTATCTTAATTAAACTAGTTCAGATCGAATCATTTTCTGAAGATTATAATACCTTACGTAAAATGAATAAATTACCTAAAGGTTCTATAAATTTAACTAATTTTACTAAATTCTGATTATACATTCGAAAGAAAACATCCTATACTCCTTCCCGCAAAACACAAACTTACAATTTTAATTGCGGAAAACGAGCATATTAATTTATTACATGCTGGTCCTCAGGCTATGTTAGCTTCTTTACGACAGAGATATTGGCCACTTAATGGACGCAATTTAGTTCGAAAAATATATCACAAATGTGTGAAGTGTTTTCGATTTAACGCCAAATCCGTACAATACATCATGGGTAACTTACCAAAATCGCGTATAACAGCTTCTCGCCCATTTTCCTTCTGTGGAGTTGACTATGCAGGTCCATTCACAATTAAAGATCGTAATGGCCGTAAATTTAACACCACAAAAGGCATATATATCACTGTTTGTTTGTTTCGCTACAAAGGCGGTGCATTTGGAGCTAGTTAGTGATTTAACAACTGAATGTTTTTTGGCTGCTCTTCATAGATTCATGTCTAGAAGAGGTAAATGTACACAAATGTTTTCGGATCAAGGTACAACTTTTATTGGGGCAAACAACGAGTTAAAATCTTTTTCCAAATTAATGGTGACAAATTAACAAACAATTTAACAAATCAAGGAATACAGTGGAATTTCATTCCACCTAGAGCTCCACACTTTGGTGGACTATGGGAATCGGCTGTAAAATCGGCTAAATACCATATAAAAGAGTAGTCGGTAATTCTATTTTTAATTTTGAAGATTTTAACACTATTCTATGTCAAATAGAAGCTTGTTTAAATTCGAGACCTCTCTGTCCTCTGTCTGATGATCCTGATGATCCTACTTGCCTCACTCCTGCACACTTTTTAATTGGAGAACATGTTACAACTATACCACAAACCAATGTTCTGGGTACACATCCATCTAGACTATCCAAATACCAACACCGTCAACAAGTTGTACAACACTTTTGGTCCAGATGGTCGAAAGAATATGTTTCTCAACTTCAAGTCCGTACCAAATGGAGAGAACAACACAATCAAATATTGAAACCAGGTTTGCTTGTCATCATAAAGGAAGACGGCTTACCACCACTCAAATGGCGGATTGGGCGTATTCAACATGTGCATCCTGGGTCAGATGGTGTGACACGTGCAGTAACCATTAAAACTGTCAATGGAACATTCAAACGTCCTGTTACAAAAATTAGTGTTTTCCCGAGCAACGAAGACTAACATCTTTGAAACACGGAGTGCTTTCAAGGGGGGCGGTATGTTGGGTTAACTACGGCAACCCTGTAAGGTGCAGTTAGAAAATGGACTGGTCTAAGAGAGTCCAAGAGGGGAGGACGCATAAGAAGAACATCTTTTGACCTTTGAAAGATATTATCATTTACTTAACGTGAAATTCTAATAATATTGACGCTTATACACCAGTTTAATATCATTGAATAATTTATACTCTGTTCTATATTAATATAAGATGTATATTTCTTTTTGGATTATACTATAGTTTGGACAATAGATATATAGGGAAATTAAAATAACTTTGGTTGCACATCATAATACGACCACCAGTAAACTCCATAAGACGACGCATGGTGTCATTGATGACGTGCAATGAGAGTTGTTTTAATTTCCCTTTATATATTTTTTTTGAAAATTGTTTCTTAGGTTTATGTGTCGTAATAAAAATGTTTTTAAGTCAAACTCATTATCATTGCTAACGTGTAGATCTTTATTAGATCTTTATCAAAATCTTTTTACTAGAAACTTGGACATCACAAAATTAAAATTGTATATTTACGCCTCTCCAAAAAATCCTATATGGGTATTTCGCCACTGCAAGAAAATTTACTAAATAAAATAGTTATTTTTTGTAAACACTTCTGGCGTTAATCCAAACGGAAACTACTTGTCAGAAGTCAGGTTTACAGATATACAAGTTTGCCTAACGAACAAAAAAATGCTTAACGTTTCGGAAAGTTTATCTCTTTCAGTCGTCGGAAGCAAAAAAAAATCAAAGAATAAAGAAAAAAAAACTATTTAAAATATTTAAATTCAACTAATCGAGAACACTTTAGTTTTTTAAAGCAGATACGTCTACAAAAGCCGTTGAAGTTCTGTTAAAATGACATTATATCAAGTTAAACTTCAAAATTAACAATTACTACCTGATAACAATTACTTAATAAGGTAAAACCAAAAAGCCCCAAACTTTTGTATGATTATTTTTAATTTTTACGTATGTTATGTTTATTTATGTTATGTTCTTTAAAATGAAAGAAACGATTGCCATACATTACTAACATCTACAGATACATGAGCAATAGATTTATTTTTATTAGATTGTATTAAAAATGCCTCTTACGTTTCTTTTAGAGGTTATCGCTTCCTTCATTATAATTTTGGCGTTATTAAAATTTATTCTGTGCCCTGTGCCCCATGAATGCTGACAAATCTTAGATTTGTGAAAATCTCCCTTTCTTAAGAAGATATTAAGAAGGTATTTCTTTTTGAAGAAACAATCAAAAAATATAAAATTTATATAGGTGCTATGTTTTACAATTTTTGCAACGTAAACCGAAATAAAAATATTTAAAATAACTGCAAAAGAATATCGACCTTTGGAGAGACTACCTCCTTTAAAATATAAACATTTCTATTAAGCGAGATCGTCGTGCTGGTGAACCGGCTCCAGTTTCATCTTGCGAGAAAATGTAATTTTACTATTGTTTCCGGTCTGTTATTTCTTTCGAGCGGCAAAGCCGAGTCTCTCGCTACTTTATTCATAGTATGTCTGTTATTTATTTTAGAAACTTCTCTATTAATGTAACTGAATAAGAAACTATCAAAAGCTTGAGACAATATTATATTTGCAAAAGAAACATGTATAAAGAAACAGAAAATGGAGTAACATAAAGATTGTTTTTATTAACACTGTATTTTTTTTCTTGAAAATAATTCTGTGTTTTCGCCACTAAGAAGAGAATCTACAAATAGTACAGTCTTGAATAGTTGTATTTAGATATTTTAAATATTTTTTTTTCTTTGTACCTTTTATTTTTTGTTTTTTTTTGCTTTTGATACCGGAGGAGATATACTCCTGAAACGATAAGTATTTTTGTCGGTTAAGCAGACTTGTTTTATCAGTAAAACACTTTCTTGCTGTGTTTAGAAATTTTTTCAAAACGTGTGATGGGAGTAAGAATTCAATTTCTTGGTGTGTCACGGCCTTGAATTTTTAATCCCATTTGACACGACATGGCCTTCACCATACCCTCACGCACGAGCTGGCGAGAAAAAAAGTGGTGAGGATCGCGCAAACACCAAAAACACATTTGATTTAAAGCTAAGAAAAGCATTATATGCTTGAGTAATTAAAGCAAATTTAAATTCTCTTTCGAACTATATTAGAGTTTCCTATACCTATCTGGCTCAGATTTTGAATAAAAAGCGATTTTTCAATAAAATTGTAATCAAGATGGCTGGTGTCGCCATGACAGTTTTCTAGTGACACTTAGTAGCTATTTTCAAAATCGATATTAGTTATGGAGTTATTTAAATTTATAACAGGTTATTTTTATTACTAATATTAATTTACCTTCAATAAGGTTAATAAGAAAGTATTTATTATTTTATCAAGAAAAATGAAGCAGTATCTGCTTGCGGAAAGAATGGATATTTTGTGAAGACAATTGCTTGGTTGGCTAATGCTCAAAGATATCCAAATAGGAATTTTCTTGGCAAGCGCTCCTTTTAAAAACTACTTTTCCTATTTCGCAGAGCTGATAGTGTGGTAATGAAAAACCTATTAGCCAGAAACCTGTCGTTGGAAGTGAAGAAAATTAATTTGTCTTAATTGTTTTTTTTATAGAAAACCCAATATATCTACAAGTCATCCTAATATAAATCAAAGAACTACTTCTTTATTTTTCATGATAAAATAATAAATACTTACTTATTAAACTAATGAAGTTAAATTAAATAAAAGTAAACTGTTTTAAATTTAAATAAAGCACATAAACTAATGTTGATTTTTACAATAGCTACTAACTGTCACTAGCAAATTGCCATGGCGACACCAGCCATCTTGATTACCATTTTATTGAAAAATCGTTTTTTATTCAAAATCTGAGCCAGATATAGTTTGGTTGCGAAGATTGATTGATAATAACGAAGTTTTTATGTAAAAT